TATACTATCTAGCTGCCCCAGGACTGTAGATACAGGGGAGATAATTTAAAAATTATTCAACTATCTGAAAGTTATTATTAGAGAAAAAGCCTAGATATCACATTTCAAAAAAATTATAAAGAAAAACTGCCTTGATATCATAGATCCAGAAGAAAATTGATAGGATCCATCAATCACTTTCTGAAAAACAGCCCAAAATGAAAACTCCCAGGAATATTAAATCCAAATTCCAGAACTCCCAGAACATTAAGAAAATACTGCAAGAACTCAAAAAGAAACTACTCAAATATTGTGGAGTCACAGTCAGAATCACACAAGATTTAACAGCTTCCATGTTAATTGAGTGGAGGGCTTGAAATGATATTCTGGAAGGCAAAGAAGCTATGATTATCAAGAATAACCTACCCAGCAAAAATGAGCATAATACTTCAAGGGAAAATAACCAATATTTCATAAAGTAGAGGACTTTCAAGCATTCCTGATGAAAAGAACAGAGCTGAATAGAAAATCTGACATTCAAACAGAAGACTCAAGAGAAATATAAAAAGATAAACATGAAAGAGAAATCATATGGAACTCAATAAAGTTAAACTGTTTACATTCCTATATGGGAAGATGATACATGTAATGCCTAAGAACATTATTATTATTATTATTATTATTATTATTATTATTATTATTATTAGGAATTAGAAGGAATTTACATAGACGTGGGTGTAAGTCAATTATGTGGGAATGATTTTTTAAAAATGTAAGGATGAGAAAGGGGAATCCACTGGGAGAAGGGGTAAAGGAGAAGCAGGATGGGGAAAATTTTCTCACATAAATGCAGTGCACAACAAAGTGCTTTTATAGTGGAGAGAAAAGAAGACGGGCAGGCAATACTTAAATCTCACTCTCAAAAGAACTGGTTCAAAGAGGGAAGACTATATATACACATTCATTTGGGTATAGAAATCTATCTTACCAACTGGGAAAAGGAGGAGAAGGCGGCAAGAGAAAAGGGCAGGAGGAATGAGAAAAGAGAGGGCAAATTAAGGTAGGCAGTGGTCAGAAGCAAAAAAGACTTTTGAGGAGGGACAGGTTAAAAAGGGATAGAGAAGGATAAACAGAAGAAAAGAGGATGGAGGGAAATACTTGGCAATCAACTGTGAATTGGAATGGCAGGAACTCACCCATAAAACAGAAGGTGACAGCAGAATCAATTAGAAACTAGAATCTAACAATATGCTGGTTACAAGAAATACAGTTGAAACAGAAAGACCCAGTGCCAGGGTCTTTTACTGTAACAGGAGATTAGTGCACAGTAACAGCAATATTATAATGTTGACCAACTGTAAAAGATCCATCAGATCTTCCCTGAGTGCTCATGTGTCCAAGGGATGGAAAGAAATGGGGAAATCATGTTGATTGCATCTCCTCCTATCTTTTCCAGGAGCTGCCTCTAATTATCACCCTCTACCCCCAAATAAAAACTCTCTCTCCTTAAAGTCCACTTATCTACTAATTCTTGATGCCCATTGACTCTTAAAACAATCTTTACTTGATTCTACTATTCTTTCAAATTATTGTCCTATATCTCCCCTTCTTTCTAAAGTCAAATTCTTATAACAAACTATCTATTTTTTCCACTTAATCTTCTAAAGTCCTTACTATCTGGCTTCTCACCCAATCAATCAACTGAAAAACTTCTTTCTCTCTGTGCCTTTGTATATTCCTGGAATGTAACAATTTCTTACTTCTGCTTAGAGTCTTAAGCTTGATTCAAGCTTATGGTGTCCACTGTCATTAGTGGTTCTCAACCTTTGCTTCCTCATATGGTCACATTGTGACCATGAATAATTGTCACACACCAAGCCCATTTGATTGTGACTGACAGTTCCATGTAATTTTCAGTATACCTGGACAACCCTCAAGGAGCACTACTAGGGCCCGACATATTGTTTGAGAATAGATGTTAGCACTCTCTCTATCCTCATGTAACCTTGTACTGACTTATCTGTTTACATGGTGCATCACCAAGTAGAACTTAAGCCCTAGAACAACAGGAACTGTGTGTTTTTTTCCTTTGTTTCTCCAGGTCTTTGCATAGTACCTTACACTGCAGGTACTTAATAGGACATGACAGGTGGTTAAGTTTCAGAAGGGCTATTATATATGAGAAATTTGAATGGATCTGCTTGGCCCTAGAGGAAAGACCTAGGGATATGCTGAGGAGCAAATTTGGGCTTGGGATAAGATTCAAGATTAAAGCCCTAAAGATTAGGGCCATCCAAAAATGTAATAGTTGCCTCAGGATGTATTGGGTTCCTGATCACTAATCACTGAAATGAGAGTTAAGACTACTTCCTGGCCTCTACAATTCCTTCCAACTCTGTGATTCTATAAATCTCTGAATGTCTTCAGGTAATGTATTATTAATTCCCATGTGACCTTCTGGCAAATAGCACTGTACACTGTTATACCCTGGCTTATCTGTGAAAGATGAAAACATTATTGCATAATGTTACTGCAATTTGAATTAGATGTTTCATATCCTAAAATTCATAAAATCATTAAAAACCATAATCAATAAGAATAGTAGCTCTTCTTTGGTATATATGGTACTACAAAAAGTAGGATACTCACTTTTTGGGTACAGTCAAGTGGGGAAACCTTTTGTGTATGGATTGGAATAGATAAACTACTGAGGTTGTCCCTTTCCAACTCTCAAAATTTGTGAGAAGTGAACTCTTTTCAAAAAAAGAGGCAACTGGTGGTGCAGGGGATAGATAACTGTGTCTAGAATCAGGAAGACCTGAGTTCAAATCTGTTCTCAGACATTTACCAGCTGTCCAACCTAGGGAAAGTCACTTGACCTCTGTTCACCTATTTCCTCAACCACAAAATAGGATAATAATAGTACTTATCTCACAGGGTTGTTGCGAGGATCAAATGAGAAAATACTTGTGAAAAGCAATTAATACATTGCCTGGCACGTAGTAGGTGTTATATCAATGTTTATTCCTTCCCCTACCCCAAAAAAGTATTCAACTGGACTTCAGATAAGTATTGTTTTCCAAAGTATTCAAATTTGGCCAAGAAATATGAAATCAAAAGCAAAGCAAATTATATATAATGTCCATTGTTTCTGAATAGCTTTAAGTGGTTCGCACTTTATTTCTGTAGAATCATATGTAGTAAATTGATTAAAATGGACTACAGTTTATTTTAGATGATAATACAAAAATAAAACAATGTTAGTTTGTATTCTAAAGGTACAAAAAAGAAAGGTTGTCAAACAGAAGCTAATTATTGCTTGGAAAGGAAACTTACAAGTTTCTAAAGAGTAACTGGAATATTAAATATAATATTTAATTAATTAAAAAGGTTGTTACAATTTCCATAAAACAATAATAATTGTGTCCCTGACTCCCCCAGGCTCTGAAAGGTAAGTTTCTTGCCTAGTCTTGCTGCAAAACAGTTCTCTATTACATTTACTGCAATTATCTAATTCTTTCCCAAGGTAACTATCTTCTCCCCTTCCTTTCCAGCAATATTTATGTGTAATCTTCCCTAATTAGAATGTAGACTCCTTGAGAGCAGCAAATGTCTTCTTTGGTTATACTTGTATCATCAGCTCTTTACACAGTGCCTGGCAAATGTAACGATCTTAAATGCTCTATCTCCCTTCTCATCAGGGACACTAACCTAATCACTGAACTAATTTCAGTTTTATTAAATGAAAGCATGATGGATTTATTAATCACCTTTATGTGCAAAGCATTCTGCTATTATTTTTCTGTATGGACCAGTCGAGGGCAGTTGTTAGGTAGTCAATCAGTAAATATTTATTAAGTGCCCAACACGTATGCTTAATAATACGTGCAAAGCATTGGTAACATAAAGACAGATAAAAAATATTTCTTGCTCTCAAGGAACTCAGAGTCTAATGAGGGAGACAATATACACTTTGCTAAGACAACAAGCTTAAGACAATGAATATGCTGGAGGCAAGCATTCCGCTATTGTAAATGAACAATTTGGTATATTTTGAAGATGCTTTTGATTACTATTCACATCTAGGCCTCCTCATTCCTTTTTAATGAATTTGTCCAGGACAGGAAGGTGAAGTAAAAAAGATGGTAGTAACCATGTTGGAGAAAAAAGACCGGGACCTACTCTACATGTAGCTAAGTAGCAGGATAAAGTGAATAGCTAGCTAGCATAGTGTCTGTTACATATTAAGCACTTAATAAATGATTGTTGACTTGATAGAAATAGATAGCTACATATACAGTGGCCTTCCCAGTGTGATACAGAAAGGGCACAGGTAAATCATACTGAAGAGCTCAGGATATGCTCCCACAAAACATAATAGTTTTGTTTCTTTTTCTCAATTCTAAATTTATATTCACCAAGAATTAGTTCTCATTGACTTTTTAAATTAAATTTTGTTCTGATTGACCATAGAATGAGGACTGATTGGAGAAACATACCTTTTGCCCAATTCTTATACATAGACACAAATGCTATATATGCGCTGTTTTCCCAGTTCCTTCCTACTTGACCTCCAAGAATGTGCTTTTTATTCATTTTCTTTAGACAGTTATTAAATTATGCTCCCCACTGCATATGAAATTACTTAACTGACTCAATGAAATTTAATTCAGGAAACGTTTATTAGACACTTCACAGTGTCATGTGGGTTGAGTAGTGGTTGCTTTTTGATGAGGTTTCCCCACCATCCTGTCCTGGTTTTTCTCTTGATCCAGAGAATGTATTTCTGAAATGGCTAACCAAGACTTAAAGTTGTAGTCTGTGGTTCTGGAACAAAGCAGATATTGACTTTCCTTTCTATATATATGCAAGTTATTTCTACCCTTACCAGATATCATATTTCGTTAGTAATTATCTCTTTGAAAAATATACACCACCTCAAAGCACATAGGTTAATATACAGGAAAAATACTTAATGTAGACACAGCAAAAAGAAAAAGAAAAAAAAAAAGAAACTGTACCTTCAATCAACAGCTCTTGCCCATGACTACCAAGTAGTGTTCGAGAGAGGAATGGGGCAAAGTCTACAAATATTTCACGAAGAAGAGGTGCAACTTTTTCTAAAGCTCTTTCAAGTTTTGCAGTGATGCTGTTAAAAATAAGATATGAAAACTAATTAACACCAATAATCACAAATTGCAATGATGTTCATGTCATGCTTTAAAAGTTTCAGGTTGCTTTACATATTTTTTTTATTCAAGTCTCACAACAGTCCTATGACATAAATATTATTATCCTTATTTTCAAAATGAGGAAACCAAGGATCATAAAAGTAAAATGACTTGCCCAAGGTTCCATAAATAGAAAATAACAGGTGGTCGAATTTAGATCCAAATGTTCCTGCCTCCAAACCTAACACTACACTCACTATGCCATATTCCTAAGTTTAGCTTTTAATTTAGCTTTTTTTTTTAAAAAAAGGTTATCTAAGCATAATTCTCTACCCAATCAATATACTGGAGACCAATGTCATGAAAGCTGATGATGAAAAACAAAATACAGTCTTTCATAGACATAGAAGAATGCCTGAAATGCTTGCATCAAAGTGAAGGGCAGTTCTGCATATTGCAAAGCTCTATATAGTAAGAATAACTGTAAGAGTCGACATTAGAATCTCTAACCTGGGAAGTCTATAACCTTTTCATAACTGAAAGTTCCATATAAATGGGTTTCCAATTCTTAGTGGGGGATTAGAGATGGATGATTAATAAAACCATAATGCCTATACCTTTGAATTACATGATAAAACACATGCCAAAGTCATATTCCAAAGGGTTCTTTATCCCTTCCTAGGAAGCCTACTATAAGAACATATAGGCACATACCCTCAAACAGCTGTTCCCCTCTGCTTGAGTAATTATATAATCCAATATTGATTATCTTCATTCAAAAGCAGAAGTATGGATAATTGAAAACAACAGGTAAACCAAAAGTCACATTTATTTAAAACAACTAATGGAGGAGAAAAGATTCTAAGATTATACTATGTATTAAGGAAAAGTAGCATGAAATTAGAACTTTGAGGCAAAGGGGGTGGAGCCAATTTGGGAGAATAGGAGGAGGAACTCACCTGAACTCTCCCATATTCCCCCCAAACAACTTTAAAAGACGGCCTCAAATTGATTTCTGGAGTAGTAAAACTAAAAAAAGGTCAGATGAAACAATTTTCTAGCCCAAGACAACTTAGAAGGTTAGCAAGAAAGGTTTGTCTCACCATAGTGGAAGGTAGCCTGCAGCACAGTACAGGATGTGCTATGGTGCGAGTGGCAGGCCTTAGAGGTGGCTACATCAGAGGCAGCACCACCTTCTGGACCTCTCAGGCCACTGACCATAAGGGGATCAGACAAGTGGTCCAAAAGAGATTATAGGGGATCCTTTGCTAGCATTGAGTGGAGGACCCTTTTGTATTGCCCATACACAGGTCCAGGTCGCAGGCCCAGGGTGAAAAGGAGCACTAGCACGTACAGATGAAGAAGAGCAAGGGCCTTGGTCACAACTCCAAGGCAGAAAGGATCCCAAGTGATTGAGGCTGCAGGAAAGCTGGGTACCTGGTCACATTTCCAGAGCCAAGAGGAATGCTGTGGCTTCAAGGAAATAAGATTATTTTCTGGGTAAAGGCCAGAGCACAGGCCAGGAGAGGAGTGCCCACACCTCTCTTTAGATCATACCACCTTGGAAACATCGAAAAGATAGAGATATCCAGAACTAGTTCTGAAAACAGCAGCATGAAAAACCTGAAGCTTCCTCCCCATCCCACCCCACCCCACCCCATCAAGACAATCCAACTTTAATACAAAGTTAAAAGTCAAGAAACATATGGGAAAAATGAGCAAACAAAACAAAATGGACAATAAAGAGTTACTATGGTAACAGGGAAGATCAAGACACAAATTCAGAAGAAAACAAAATCAAAACTGTTATATCCAAAGCCTCAAAGAAAAATGTGAATTGAACACAAGTCCAAAAAGAATTACTGGAAGAAGTAAAAAAGGATTTTAAAAATAAGAGAGGTAGAGGACAAATGGGGAAAAGAAATGATGAAACAAAAGACAGTGATGCAAGAAAATAATGAAAAGTCAACAGATTGGTAAAAGAGGCACATACTGAAGAAAATATTACCTTAAAAAACCAGAACTGACCAAATGGTACAAGAGGCATAAAAACCCACTGAAGAGAAAAACTCCTTAAAAAAGCAGAACTGGGGGGAAAACACACAAATTCACTGAAGAAAATAACTCCTTAAAAAAAAGTGGAACTGGCCAAATGGAAATGGAGGTACAAAAGCTCAAGGAAGAAAATAATTATTTGAAAATTAAAATTGGGTAAGTGGAAGCTACTGAATCCATGAGAGATCAAAAAACAATAAAACAAAATCCAAAAATTAAAAAAAAAGAAAAGAAAATGTGAATATCTCATTAGACAAACAAATGGCATAGAAAATAGATCAAGGAGAGATAATTTAAGAATTACTGGACTACCTAAAAGCTATGATCAATAAAGAGCTTACACATTATCTTTCAAGAAATTACCAAGGAAGACTGCGCAGATCTCCTAGAACCAGAGAGTAAAACAGTCACTGAAAGAATACACAGATCACCTTCTTAAAGAGACCCCAAAATAAAAACGTCCAGGAATAATACAACTAAATTCCAGAGACCCCCAGTGAAGGAGGAAATATTGTAAGCAGCCAAAAAGAAACAATTCAAATATTGTGGAGCCACTGTGAAGATGACACACAATTTAGCATTTTTCACAGTAAAAGATCAAAAGGCTTGGCACAGGGCATTCTGGAAAGCAAAGGAGACAGGATTACAATGAGGAATCACCTACCTAGCAAAACTAAGTTTAATCTTTCAGGGAAAAAAATGGAAATTTAATGAAGTAGAGGAGTTTCAAGTATTCTTGATGAAAAGACCAGAGCTAAATAGAAAATCTGACTTTCAAATACAAGATTCAAAAGAATCATAAAATGGTAAATAGGAAAGAAAAATCATAAGAGTTTCAATAAAATTAAACTGCTCACATTGCTATATGGAAAGATGATAATTACAATTCCAAAGAATTTTATCATTATGAGGGCAGTTAGAAGGAGTATACACAGACAGGTGGCACAGTTTTGAGTTGGTTATGACGGGATGATTTTTTAAAAAATTAAGGAATGAGAAAAAGATGCACTGGAAGGAGGGGGAAGGGAGAGGAAGAATAGGGGAAATTAACTCGCATAAAAGAGGTGTAAAAGGAAGAGACTCTACAGTGGAGAGAATTACAGAGATTGGGGAAATGGACAATGCTTAAATCTTACCCTCATTGCAATTGGCTCAACATACACACTCAGCTGGGTATAGAAATTCCAAAAGGGAAACAGGAGGGGGGGAAGAAGACAAGAAAAGGTGGGGGAAGTGACAGAATGGAGAGTGGATCAAAGAAGAAAGTGGTCAAAAGCAAAACAGACTTTTGAAGAGGGGCTAGGCAAAAAGAGAGAGAGAGAAAGATAAACAGAAAAAAAAACAGGATGGAGAGAAGTACACAGTAATCACAACTGTGAATGGGATGAACTCACCCATAAAATGGAAGCAGATAGGAGATTAGATCAATAACCAGAATCCAACAATATTTTGTTTACAAGAAACATATTTGAAACAGACACACACAGAGTAAGGGGCTGGAGCTTCAGCTGAGGCCAAAATAAAAAAAAGAGCAGAGGTAGCAATCATGATCTCAGAGACAGCAAAAGCAAAAACAAACCTAATTAAAAGAGATAAGAAAGGAAGCTACATTTTGCTACAAAGGTACCTTGTACAATGAAGTAATATCAATACTAGACACATGCACGAAATGCACGAAACATTTACATTCTTAAAGGAAAAGTTAAATGACTTACAGGAACAAAAAGACAGTAAAACTATATTAATGGAGGACCTATATTTTCCTCCTCATAACTAGATGAATCTAACTATAAACATGAAATATGTTAAGGAGATTAAAAAGAATTTTAGAGAAGCTAAAAATGATATACTTCTGGAGAAAACTTAATGGGAACAGAAAGGAGTTGACTTTTTTCTAAGCTGAACCTCGCTCTTTGACAAAAACTGACTGTGTATAAGGGCACTAAGACCTCACAAACAAATGCAGAAAGGCAGAAATATTGAATGCATCCTTTTTCAGGCCATGATGCAATTAAATTCATATTCAATAAAGGGCTATGAAAACACAGATTAAAAATTAACTGGAAACAAAAAATACCTAATAATAAAGAATGAGTAGGTCAAAGAACAAATCATAGAAACAATAAATAATTTCATTAAAGATAATGACAAGAATAAGACAAGTTACCAAAATGTATGGAATATAGCCAAAGTAGTACTTAGTGAAAAATCTGTATCTTTAAAGGCTTATATCAATAAAATTGAGAAAGAGTAGTCAATGAATTAGGCATGCAACTAAAAAGAAAACTAGAAAAAGAACAAATTAAAAATCTCTAATTAAATACTAAATTGGGAATCTTGAAAATCAAAAGAGAGACGAATAAAACTGAAAGTAGGAAAACCATTAAACTAATAAATAAAAGTGGGAGCTGGTTTTATGAAAGGAAAACAATAAAATATATATTTGTTAATTTGATTTTTAAAGGCACAACAAATTACAAAGTATCAAAAATGAAAAGGGTCTTACATCATATACCAAAATAAAGTCAAAATAGGTACATGACTTAGATATAAAGGCTGATACTATAAGCCAACTGGGAGAGTAAGGAATAGTTTACCAGTCAGATTTGTGGAGAACAGAAGAATTTATGACCAAAGAAGAGATAGAGGACATTATGAAATGCAAAATGGATAATTCTGATTACATTAAATTGAAAAGCTTTTGCACAAACAAAGCCAATACAACCAAGATTAGGAGGGAAGCAAAATATTAGGAAAGAATTTTCATAACGAGTGTCTCTAATAAAGACCTCATTTCTAAAATATATAGAGAACTAAGTCAAATTTAGAAGAATATGATTCATTCCTGAATTGATAAATGGTCAAGGGACATGAACAGGCAGTTTTCAGAAGAAGAAATTAAAGCTATCCATAGTCATATGAA